AAAAGTAGTAATCTTATTTTTACAAGAAGGACTTGGCTATAAAGCTCCCCACTCCAACGCTCCCTTCTTCGCCATCAATGTGTCTTTCAAATCTTTCAAAGTGGTAACCATAGAAGTTTTGTATGTACATTGACCATTAAATTTATATCATTACTCCATTTGATTTAGGAGCAGAAGAAAAAAGGTGTCATCGCAGCATCWGCAGGCAATCATGCACTGGCATTATCTTATCATGGAAAAGAGCTTGGGATACCTGTCACAGTTGTCATGCCAACCAATGCACCAATCATGAAGATCTCGGCTTGTAGGAAGTACCAGGCTACTGTTATTGTCAATGGTGCAGACATCATCGAGGTGCAGTCTTGAATTTCTTGTATCTGCCATTCATAGAATTTCAATGTTAATTTTTAATAAAAGGGAATAGTCTCCTTCACGGTTTCTTGCGCCATCTTGAAAGGTAGCTGTGCCTTTACATTGAGTATTCCATGAAGATGCATTGTGTTAATTTTTTAGGCTAAAGATATTGCACTTCGCATGGGAAAAGCAAACAGCCTTGAATACATTAATGGGTTAGTAAGTGCATCAGGGAACTACATGTAGTTCCACTACAACCATGATGGTTGGGTGGGGGACAGGGGATGGGTAGTGACAGCTAAAAACCATCAAATCAGGATGTAATCCTATCAGACATTAACAAAATTAGAATAAACAATCAAGTATGGCCGAGCTGTTAAAATGCCGGTCTATCACTGCTGTGGTCCTGGTTCAATTCACAGTCCGGGACTTAATATGAGAATTGAGTTTGTAGGCTGGTTCTCTTCCTTGCTCCGAGGGTTTTTCTCCAGKTCCRCTGGTTTTSCTCCCTCAGTCAAAAACTAGCTGTGAGGAGTGTCGTGAAGTAAAATAATAAATGTTGAGGTAGCGAGTATGAGTGAATATAGAGGGCCACAAGTTTACTAGTCTAGAGACTATTACGTGCTACCCTCTCAAAATAAAAGACTTTATTTTTTTTATTTTAATCTATAATGGTTAGGATATATTTGGAATCTTTATCTTTCACCAATTAACAGTTTAAAAAAATTATTCTCTAAACAAAGCATAGATTGCCTTGATTTTAGAGAATTTGGGCTTCTGTGATTCTACAGTGTTATTAAAATTAACTGCTGTGTTTGTCAAATAAAAATGTACAAAATATTATTATTTGCATGCAAACTTTCAGCTTTATAATATAAAATAAAGGACTTTATACATGGTTGATTAAATTTATGTTTGATAAAAGAAAGACTCATTTTATACGATCATGTACAGATACGACCATCCGCACATTCTTGCTGGTCAAGGGACGTGTGGATTGGAGATAATTGATGATGTACCTGATGTAGATGCTGTTGTCATCCCTGTTGGAGGTGGAGGGCTAATTGCTGGTATGGCTGTCGCAATNAATCGTTTTTTTTTTGTTTTACTCAGTAGTCGTTTGATGGTATTGATATCAATTTATTAGGGTACAATACAGTCGAGTTTAATTTATTTTACTGTTTTTTAACAGTATTGAAAGATATACGAGTAAATTAATAGAGATAAGCTATTAAAACAAGCAGCCCTGAAGTTTATTTTGGAATCCTTGTGTTGCTGTTCTTAGATAACAACTCCGTTGGCGGATTGCGTTGAGTAATTATTACACTCTTTCTAATGAGATTCATAGGTCTATGGCACAGAGGCATATCTTTAGAGAAGTCCTTTGTAGTTTCAGAACCTGTAGAATCAGTTAGTATAGAGTTCGCTTTTGATAAGATTGGTAGCTTGTTTGATATAGTTCAAGATATAAAGTTTCACGATATAAAGTTTCACGATAAATTCGCAGTATCTCTCAAAATGCCCTTTCGAAAAACGCTCGACATCTTTTAGTGTGGCTACACCGCGAATGGTGTGTGGATTTGTAAGAGATTTGAGAGTGTTTGAAGTTGAATCCATGTCTTCTGCATCTCGTATCAAAGACGACACCTCGACGACACCATGTCAAGATAGCACATGGAAGTTGTGAATGTCATGTGATTCGTACCCAGTGCATTCTAGTTTGGCCGAGACAATTTGTGTACGACGAATACCATGAAAAAGAAAGCCGAAACCTAAACTCGCGGTTCCTGTGGAACCCCGAGTAAAAACGATCTTTCCAATGATATAAAAATCAAAAAATCATTTAATTTAAGATGTGACAGTTTTGGGTACGCTGATACCTTAAATTAACTGCCGTGTTTGACGAATCTGGTACCACACAATAAAAAAATAATGTACAAAACATGATTTGCATGCAAGGTTTCAGCTTCAAACATTAGAAAATGAAGGACTTTATACATGGTTGATATTAAAACTTATGTGTTCGATAAAAGAATTTAAGACTCATTTTATACATGTACAGATATGACCATCCGCATATTCTTGCTGGTCAAGGGACGTGTGGATTGGAGATAATTGATGATGTACCTGATGTAGATGCTGTTGTCATCCCTGTTGGAGGTGGAGGGCTAATTGCTGGTATGGCTGTCGCAATCAAGAATCTTAATCCAGATATTACTATTATTGTAAGTAAAAGAAAACTCTCATGTTTATAAGAAGTGTAGATTTACAGCAATATGCAGAAATTATGATCATTTTGACTCATATTCCAAATAACCAATATATATAATACATATCAGAAACTATGGGATGTCATCACCAATATTTTTTAAAGTTGCCTAGCACAAGTACTTTCTGAAAAAAAAAAACAATCTTTATCAGGAAACACAAAATTATATTCATAGTCATTGTCTTCAAAGACAATGGAAAGTTTTTCAGTCTTCACTCTTTAATTTTCCAGTTTAAGGGTGATGACTTTAATTAGTATTTTATCCAATGACAGGGTGTAGAGTCAGAGCGCTGTGCAAGTTTTCAAGCAGCCATTGATGCTGGACATCCTGTGAAAATTGAAGCCATCCAGGCTATGACTCTAGCAGATGGTATGTTAAATACAATAAACAATAATGGCCATCAACTAGTATCAGTTTAACTACTATATGATTGCATTAAAGCTAACAACTGGTTTATAAATGTGAACTTTGAATATACAGTATAAGCTGAAGACGAAAAGTATTAACGAAAACCAGTGTTTAAAACTCTTTATAATTTATAAATGAATATCAACCTTTATATATCATAATATTGTACTTTCCAGGTCTTTGTGTGTCTAAAGTGGGTGATAATGCATTTGCAACAGCTTTACCTCATGTAGACCGAGTCATCAGTGTGAAGTAGGTGCTATAAGAATTCCTAAATGTAAATKAAAAGCGACTGTCACAAATATTTGGATTGTTGGGCCCAATTCTGCCYCACTAAGTGCAAAACCACATTATTTTCCGCTTGTGATTTCTTTTATAAAACTGTAAAAAGGGCTTATTATTATCTCTTCTAATTATTAGGGAGGAATTCATTGCCCTTGCTGTACTACGTCTCATTGAGGAGGAGAAAGCTGTCGTAGAAGGAGCTGGTGTGACAGCWTTTGCTGCAATCTTGGCTGGTCTTTTACCAGAACTCAAAGGGCAAAAGTAAGTGTGTATAAYGCATGTATTATTTGCACTTTATTGTGCCCATTTTTAATTGTGACCTCTTCTTCAAGGGTTGTTGTACCTCTGTGTGGTGGCAACATAGATTCTACTGTACTTGGGAGGTGTATTGAYCGCGGTCTTGCAGCGGACGGACGCTTAGTGAGGTTTATTGTAACAGTTATCGACAGACCTGGTGGAATAGCAGAATTAACAAGACTTTTATGTTCCCTGGAGGCTAGGTAAGATATTTCAGTAGAAAATTCTGCAATATACAATGAATAGTATTCTAATTTAATTTATGGTGTTATTATCAGTGTGAAAGACATGTATCATGAAAGGGCATGGTTGACATCAAGCGTTTTTAGTGTTCAAGTACGTTTTTGTCTTTCAATTTTATTATACTTTGTATATTTTATCTTATTGTTTTTCGCTATTGTTTCATGTGTATATATAGCTCTTCAGTTGTAATAAATTCAAAATTGCTTGAGAATGGCATCAGAGGATGTCGAAACGTCGCAAAAATGAATCTAGTTGCGTTTGTCTTTTTGATTAACTTTATTTCAAGATCTAAACTTATCAATTTTATTATAAAAAGAAAAAAAAATCCGAAAAAATATTTTTTCAGTATCTTATGACAAAAACAACAATTCTGTTGTAGATTAAAACTGTTGCAGAAGTTCGAGACAAAGCACATGGCCTTGAAGTGAAACAAGCTCTTGAACTACACTACCCAGATAGTGTTATGTGGGGAGAAGACCAAAGTTTTAAACTACTGTCTCCAAAATGATGACTTGTCAACAATTTAATTGTAAATTTTAAATGTAGACTTTGAGTAGTTAAATAATATATTTGGTGCTAAATAGAGCTAAATGGTTAAATGGATAGGTTTTCCTTCTGTGGATACATGTATAACAATATATATGCAAATATGCTAATATTAGTATAGGAAATCGCATGACCTTAAGTACGAGAGGTTGTGTGATTTTTTGTTTATAGTACATTCAGTAAACAAAATTTATAAGGAGTACAATTATCCCTGCACTGTAATTGTACTCCTCTCGACCATTGAAAACATATTATTTTGTTGAATGTACTATAAAATAATATTCGTTTATCAAATGATCATCACCATCAGTGTTCATAGAATGAATGACAGCTGCAAAGCATTACGGGGATTTATTTACTAGGTGATAATTTATTTAGACAATCCAGGCAGTTTTCTAAAGAATTATAGATTTTATAGACTTTTTTTCACACCAGACAATTAATATTAGTAATAAGTAAATATATTGTTGGTAATCCTAATACAATTTTTTATCCTGTTTATTCTGCTATTTATTCATAAATAGTGTATTTATTGTACAAAATACTTACACAGCTTTTAATAATATTGGATATTTAAACCCATTTTGTGGCAAAATTGCATTTAATTACAAAAATATTTGTACTGAAGACTCTAAACTTCAAGGRAAGAGACAAGCAAAGGAAAGAAGAAGTCTGCTTATTTTGAACATTGGGCCTTCATCATTTTCTTGGATGAGAGGCCCATGTCAGTATGTTTTCTTTGACTCTCTTTGCTTTATGGTCTAATTAATTTATCACTCATAATAGTTACTAGCTTTTCCTATAATGTTATTCTCCTAATAATAATGATCATGGTATTTTTATATGTAAAAAAAAATTAAATTAATTGTATGGTAATAAAATGTAATAAAATTGTATGGAATGTTTTGCTTTGCGAATTGCTGCTATTCCTATAGTCCAGTCCCGGACTCCCTTTCTGTCCGCTYCRTTAACCTRAGGTYGTRGGCRATTCCTG